AGAGTAATATACAGTAGTATATGCTGTTAAGTGTCAGGAGGACTGTGATCAGTCATACATTGGGGAAACAAAACAGCCACTGTTCAAAAGAATGTCCCAACACAGATGAGCTACTTCGTCGGTTCAGGACTCTGCAGTTTACACTCATCTACAGGCCAGAGGTCACTCCTTCAGGGATGAAGATGTTCTCATCCTTGATAGTGTAGGGGTTTTGGGTATATTAACCTGATAATTTATGGATTATTAAAATACATAAATTATATTCCTCGGAGGCACCACTTCCCTTAATCTTGTTAAGAATTATATTACACAGGAAAGAGAAGAAAAACTGTAACTTTTACCATAATCAGTCTCATAATAAATCAGTACCCAAAATTACCTGAGTTCTTGTCTTTTCAAGTCAATACAATTTTATCAAGACACAAAGAGACATTAGCTTAAGTTGACCCATTCTCCACGAGTCATTTATTTACAGATTACAATGTATTTACAGGCTATGGTAGATGTGGAATAATGACATTACTGAACCAGGTAAATACGGAAATAGTTTGCGATAATAAGTGAACAAATAAAACAAACAGACAAACAAATAAACACTAAAGGGGTTTGAGGCGGAAATGAGGGGAGGTTTTCTTAAGGATGTGAATTTACTAATGTCCTAGTTAAATTCATTTAGGGAGAGAGAACGTGTAGGTTGATCAAATCTCATACGAAGATAAAAATCAGCTCTAAACTGAGCACCTTTTTGTCACCAGCGAACTGTTCAGTTTCCTACCCTTTACTTCTGCTGAATGCAGTACCAGGACGAGGGCGTCGGCTGACAGAAGAACTCCAAGTGATGTTCCCAAAGAACTACTTCAGCATAGTGGCCTGTCAGACACTCAGGATGTCTGTGATCCCGTTCCCCGACTGCCATTTGGGGAGGGGGTCCTGAAGAAGGGCGGACCGCCGGGTGCGGTCCTGGGCTGTGGGTGGGCTCGGGGCTTGGATGGTCGCCGGGGGCGGGGCTGGCTCTCTGTCCTCC